AAGGGATCCCCCATTAGCCACACCCCCGTCACCCCCTTCTCCCAGCGACAATCCCAGGCATTACATTCTCACCCCCTTTTCCTCATTGCCGGGAGGAGACTTCAAAAAGGATTACATGAAAGCTAATGACCCCCATTGTTATTGTTAGTCCGTTTGGTGATATCCACATCCAGTCCCTTTGAAGTAGGCTGAAGGAAGTATGACAGAATCCAGAGCAGGCAGAAATGTGGGTTTTCATAGTTGGTAACTAGAGATGGAATATATTTGGATTCTGACACATTGCAAACTTCTTCATTTGCCAGAAAAATTGCACCTTGAAGGACCACAGCTCAAATTCACAACCTAACCATTTTTAATTGTATGGTCATCATGTTGAATATTCTCCTTTTTCTCACAGTTAATTTGGCAGTTCTCTCATTCCTTGGTTCTATAACTCTCTTCTGCGTAAAGAAGAGCCCTGCTTGAAATCCTCTAGCTAAATCACTGAATCATATTCAACAGACCATACATGTGAAGTACATAGAACCAAGTCCATTGAGCATCATGTCAGGTCTATTAAAGAAGTGACACACTATGAAAAAAAATGTATCTCTGAGCTTTTTTTTTCTTACGGTGAATGAAAAGAGAAAAAGGAGGAAATTCCTTTTCTAGTCAGGAAAAGTGAAAAGAGACAAATAAATGAAAGAGGCTGAATGATCCCTCTAGGTCTCCCATTAATCCCTTCTACTCAATAGAGCAAAATTTGTCCTTCTGGAAAGGTATGTTGAGCAGGATTTTATAAGTCCACCAATGTTGATTGTGCTTAGAAACTACAAAGTCCTCTTATGCTGTTCTGACATTATGCATATTCAAAGGACTTAGTAGATATATTTGGTAGTAGTAATAATAAATATTATTAATGAAAATAAACCATTATTAGTGCTTGAAATGGTATGCATATATTTTCTGTCTTATGATGACTCTTTAAAAATGTCAGTGTCGATGAACTCTTCTAAGTTCATGAGATGTGTGAGATACAAATTTCTTCATCAATTGCTCAGCTCCTTACCGTTGTGCTAAATTACTTTTCTGAAGCCAGTAAATAATTAATAGAAAAATAAGAAAAATAATCCAGTTAAATAGATGTATTCATATAATGAATGCATGTTCTGGGTTCATAGTAACTTCATTTGTTATAGATTGCATGTTTAGATCTGACTAAATCAATATACTGTAAAATGACTGTATTTTCTTGGCTCTTTGGAACAGGTTATCTGCCATGCCATCTCTGAGCATGTGGAAGATGCAGGAGTTCATTCTGGAGATGCTACTTTGATGTTTCCTGCACAAACAATTAGCCAAGGAGCTTTAGAGAAGGTCAATCTTTGGTTAACTATACAAGAAGAGTATCATGGGGCTAAACTGCATGAAGTTCTAAAAAATCATCTGAAAACCATAAATTACAGTATTTATCAGAATATTAAACCAGCTGAATGTTGAATAAAATAGTTGCACACTTTTCTGATGATCAGTACAGCTGATACAATAGAATTGTTTGTGGCTACAGAGTAGCATCCAGTATCTCTCTCAGCTTTTTTTTTTTTAAAGGAAATTGCTAGAATGTATCTCAGAACCTCCTTCATCAGCCTGGTGGTCCTCCAAAATTACTGGACACAGCTCAGTGTAGTAAAAGTTGGGAAATGGTGGAAGCTGAAGTCCAATATATCTGGGCACTAGATTGGAGAAAGCAACATTGTTTGTATTTTATCACTCCATAATATACACCAATTCATAGACTTAGTTGTCTTGCATATCATGTTGGCTCCCTGATTTTATCTAAAGTTGTAGCAACAAAGAATACATGCAAAAATCTAGCATACCAGTAGAACAATCTTATAGCAAGTGAACATGCTAATTATAAAGCTAATTATAAAGTTGCAGAAAACCACAGAGATGACCTTGCGGAGGCCATGAATTAAGGCAGAGAATGCAAATGGCATTGGAAAGAAACTTAAAGTTCATTTTATTTGGTATAACAGGGAGGAAAAGGAAAACATTGTCAGGTTTTCAAGATTCTCTTCTATAGCCTCTCTCAATAAGATAGAGTTCCAGTATTTCTTGTGAAGTCCATTTCTTGACCTGGCTTACCTTGAAGGGCTGACATTAATCTTGAAAGCCTGGCAATGTTTTTTTTTTCCCCTTTCCCTCTCACAGCCTGCTTCATTTGCAACAGCTTAAAACTGTTTCTGAGTTTCAGCCGTGCAGAATATACTGTACTTTTGCTTTTCATTTCCATTCTCATTCACTGGGGCTGGCTCCTCTGACTGTCCTCCTTATTAAGAGTTACTGCCATTGCCTACTTTTGCTTTAGTGCCTCTTTTCTTTGAACTGATAAATCCTTGTCCTTTGCTACTACAGTCATTTAATTTTCATCAAGGGTTGCTATAAGCTTGCACTTGCTGTGCAAAAATATGCCTGATGGTTATCAGGCAGGAAGATGAACATGGCATAAGCACTGTACATCATAATTGTAGTCTTCTGACAATTCATCTGCACTTTTAGTCCTTGGGATACAATGCAACTTTTAATTCTTCTCAGGCAAGTGTGAATACAACTTCTTGATTTAGAAGGGAATTCTGCTAAGGACTCATCTACCACCCTTGCCCCCCCCCGCCCCCTTGTCCTCCTGTTAGTTCTCCTTGTTTTGCTTGCTCATCATTTAGGCATCAGACAAACATAGCAGAATATCAAATATTATGGTATGATGTAGATAAATATAAAATAAAATTAAATCAATATTAATGACTTATAACTAGAATAAGTTTAATAAGAGCTTTCATTGAATTTACACTCACATTTCTCAGGCTACTTGGGGTAAAATTAACCTTTATTTTGTTTTGTTTCTATTTATTTTACCTTTAATGGACTTATTTGGCTGAATTATTAATGAGGTGTTTTTATGTACTCTTATAGGTGAAAATTGCAACCAGAAAGATTGCTGATGCCTTTGCTATCTCTGGACCATTCAATATCCAGTTTCTCGTCAGGGGAAATGATGTGCTGGTGAGGCCTTTTTGAATGTAGAAAATAGTAGATCATAATAATAAATGGCACATTTTCCAAGAAGCCCTCTGTTTCTTCATGCACACCTGGCAAAAAATCAGCTAAGTCTGTTGCTGCTGTTTGCTGTGCAGCCCAGGCTAGAGGAAGTCGTATAATACCTGCCTTGTCTGATGCCTCATGGGTGTACAGTATGTGCCATTGATACTCATTCACTGCTGTCTAAGGCATTTCGTGGTACAATTTTGAAAGAATGGCTCTGTTTGCCCAGATAATACAGTAATTTGAGGAGAAAGCAAGCTCTGTAGAATTGCCGTCTGTCAGCAAGCATGTTAGCTCAGCACTTGCTTTAAATCAGATCAGTACTAAATAAGATTTGTAAGAATATTATAAGCGACTCATCTTATTGGTGTGGCAGAAGTTTGACTCTGCGATATACAGAGCTTGCTATTTTGCTATCTTGGGTTATTATGGATAGCTCAAAAAGAAATAGGATAGAAGAAAATGTAAAGAGGACATTTGTCTTCCAGGTATTCTTGCTTACGGGATGTTTCATTTGCACCTACTACCATGTTAGATACAATATTAACTTATAGGAATGGGAGAAGGAAGGATGTCAGGACTGCAAGAGCTGGAGTGGGGGGAATTTAGTAATTCCATTCTCCATGATTTTCATGAAACCTACACTTGCTCCAGTTATCGTAGACATCAGTAGATAAGCATTACAGCCAGTGGTGGGATTCAGCCAGTTCATATCACTTCGGCAGAACCGGTAGCTAATTTTTTGTTGCCCAGGCCCAGAATGGACTTCCGGAAGCGGCATCCACACAGATAACCAGTTGTTCACATATTTTAATCCCTCCACTGATTACAGCTGTCTGTCCTGACTGTAATACTTCTTATAGCTTTTCTTCAACCTACAGCTAGTGTACGTACTTTTAAAAATATGCTTGTTGGTTGAAGTCAGTTGTTAAAATTGCATTGGGTTTGTCCCACTACCCTCAGCCATAATGTCTTCCCCTAAAATCTAGGAAAGCGATTTAGCCGCTGTCACACCCTCTCTCCCTATGGATACGCCGAAGGCCCACTTCAGTATAAGTACTTCCATTTCACAGCCCCCCTACAATAAGTCCATGGCATCAATTGGAAAACCAAAACAAAAACAGATTTATGCAATTACATGTATTATTGGTAACCCTGTACAGTACTTTCATCATATGCAAAGAGCTGCTTTTACAGACACGTGATCTTGCTGGAATATGGCAAGTTGAAACTTCAGAGTGATCATGATGAGGCCAAAGCTTATGACTTAGTTCTATGCTTGTCCTTTGATAATTCTTCTGTCACCCTACATTGTTATACACTTCATCTATTTATTTTCTAATCTTGTTATGTTTGTTGAAAGATGTAATTTGTATAGATTTGGGAAATAATAAAAACCATGCTGGAAAATGTTTTTCAGTATTGATTAACAATTTGGAGACCATTAGTGACTGTCTTGAATGAATGTAATCTCAGAAAATGCTGGGAATTTAATACACTTTTGTCCATGTTATTGTATGTATCCATTGTGGATATAGGTAAATTCTGTCTTTTCATTATGTGTGTAGGCAGGAAAATAGAGAAAGATATGATAAATATTCTAATAATGTCCAGAATTTATAAGGTTATAAATGGTTATGGTTATAAATATGGTGTTTATCTTTCTTCACAATCAATACATAGGAAATCTTTAAAGATTTTTTTCCCCCATCTCTCTTGTAGGTGATAGAGTGTAACTTGCGAGCATCGCGATCTATTCCATTTATATCCAAGTCCCTTGGTCTGGATTTCATTGATGTGGCCACTAAAGTGATGACTGGGGAACAGATCCATGAATCCTCCCTTCCTGCACTGACAAGCCCTATGATTCCATCAAATTATGTGGGCATTAAGGTATGTGTGGAATGATACAGAATAATTAGATGATTGCACTTATGTGGCTTATAAAGGTAACTTCATAAGGTTAAATCCTTTTTAATCCATTCATTCAACCAGGGAGAAGAAATAGGTAAAATAGTCCTCCCCACCGATATACACTGTGCTGAGTATTAAAGTACCACATTAAAAACCACAATCAGACATCCAAATCAAGTGCATATTAACAAAGTCTGTACATTGAAACAAAAGCTAAGTTTAATGAATTGTATATTATATTTGGAAGATGGATAACTCAGTGTTCCTGTAAACAGGTTAGCCTTCACTCTTCTTAGTAAAATTGCTTCTATCTAAATGAAGCAGGTGTGCATAATCAATGTCCCTCTGTATAATATGCCATGTGTTTAAGACACTTTGCATTTTAGCTGAGAGCTAATGATTGAAAACACAATGTCATGAAATATTTGGTAGGTTACCCTATATATAGTTTTCTTTGTGGGTCAAAACAGGGGTTGACTTTGGAACTCACAAACTGTTCAAGTTGGTCTCTTGTTTGGTGTTTCATGGAAGGTTGGAAGCTTTTAATAATAGTTGATGGGCTCTTTTCAGTAAATCACAACCCTTAGTTGTTGCAATCTGAATGCCAGCCTCCAGAAAAGGGTAAATCTATCCCTGATTGCTCCCCCTTGTAAAATAGATATTGTAATATCACAGTGCTTTGCTACAGTGATTTGCATGGAAATCCTTCTGTTCTAAACAAAAAAAAATTAGGAATCCAAAAATGCTTGTAAATGCCTACAACAATAATTATTAAAATGCCAGAAATAATTAAAAAATTCTGAAGAGGTCCTGTGGGAAAACTTTTTGAATCATAAGTACATTATTATGAATCAATTTTATCTTCTTCTGCAATGCTTTGATGAACACCCCAATCATATCTTCTTTCCAGTTTGGAGTTGCTTTTCCATTAGAGGAAAGAATCTTCCCCCAGAACATCTTGCCAGAAGGTAGACTTATCAAAAACTGAAAAGTCTATGATTCCCTTCCATTTTTTTTCCATGGCCACAAAATGGGAGATTGCTTTTCTGAGATAGATTAACTTGGCAGCTACCTGCTCCTGTTTCCCTCCTTTCCTTTCTCCTCTTTCCATCCTCCTTAATTGTGTCACTCAAAGTGATAGCAAATGGTGGAAAAGGGCCTGCAGGTAAACCTTCAGAAATTGATATAGGTGATAAATGTCTCAGTGGACAATAAATGAGTCAAGTCTTGGGTAAAATATGTGGTTTGGTGTGTACCAATATTCTGAACGCTATAGTCACAGTCATGGAAGGTCAGCCATATTGCTGCCTCATTTCTTTGATTATCCACCATGGAATGATGCTAGTACCTGTTATGCATCTGTAAAACAGTTCTGGGCTTAATATATACACTATGTATATATGTATATATCACTCACACACATAGACACATGCGGGTGGATAGTGTTATCCATTATTAAAGACTGATGTATAATGATACGGTGCAATTAGGATTTAATGTCAGGACCATTTTCTTTCTACCCCCTTTTTTCTAGCACTTGCTAGTAGTGGCATCACCTGCTATCCTGTTCCAAATTTCTGATTCTCTTTGAGAATAAGTCTAATCTTTGAGGCGCGATTGGATTTGCCCAGCACATTCTGCCCTCTGTCTGGGATTTTAAAAAAACCCTGAAACTTTAAATGATAATACAAATTCTAAATTGTACTAGAATACATAAAATACAGAGATTTCCCCCACCCAACCCCTTCCACAAGACAGGAGACCTTATACCAGTGTTGGTGAACCTATGGCACGTGTGCCAGAGGTGGCACTCAGAGCCCTCTCTGTGGGCACGCACACCGCCACTAGCAGCTCGCCAGGTCCATTAGGCTGCCACCCGGAGCACCAACCCCACCCAGCACAAAGAAGGCAAAACGGCTGGCTAGCAAGCTCGAGTAGAGGTGTTAGAGCATCAAGGTGACCACGCCTACCAGGCCACACCCACCCAGTGGGCCACACACACCGCCCTCCCTGAGGGAACACAATGCTGATGTGGCCTTGGCACTTTGCAATAAGTAAGTGGGTTTTGGGTTGCGGTTTGGGCACTTGGTCTCTAAAAGGTTCGCCATCACTGCCTTATACTATCCTGAACAAATAGATGTCTAATTTTTTCTTGAAAATCTCCAGCAATGGAGCACCCACAATTCTGAGAGGCAAGCTCTTCTATTAATTAATTATTCTCACTATCAGGAAATTTCTCCTTACTTCTAGGTTGGATCTCTCTTTAACCAGCTTCCACCCATTGCCCCTTGTCCTGCCCTCAGGTGCTTTGGAGAACAAGTCAATCCCCTTCTTTGTGACTGCTCCTCACGTTCTGGAAGATAGCTATCATGTCATCCCTAATCCTTCTCTTTGTTACTCTAGTCATACCTTAGATGTTTATCATACGGTTTAGCCTTCAGACCCGTTACCCAGCATGTGTGATACAGCTTCATCTTGCACTAATATCCTGTTTGTTGTTATCTTTCCTATTCCATCAAAATGTCAAATCAGATTCTGGTTACCAAAGTGTTGCCCACTTCTATCTTGCATCTGCATGCTGTATTTGGAGAATTAATGTCACAAATGAATTTACATTTCTTTCTCATTTTCTAGGCTCCAATGTTCTCCTGGCCCCGTTTGAGAGATGTTGACCCTATTCTACGATGTGAAATGGCATCCACTGGGGAGGTACCAACTTTTATGATATTTTCTCACAAATAATTTCTATTGACCTTGGATCAGAATATCCAGAAAACGATTCTTGGAGAATAAGCTAGCTTTACATGACACTACATTAGCAATATTTTTATTATTAAGTTGCTTTGTTTTTATAGTGAATCAATCTTTGAAGTGAGAAAAAAACAATTTAGAAGGTTTTTTTTATTATCTAAGGACAGCCTTTCACATAAAAAAATATCAAACTTATCTGATAGGCTATAACTTGCTTGACCACTGGATGTCCCCCTTCATTACTGTTTGATCCTATCTCTTTACAATAGTTCTTCCAAAAACTTTGTTTCTCTCTTCTCCTCCTTCCACAGAGGAGTATCAGATTTCAGTAAATATTTTAGAGTAACAGACATAATATTTTATGAAATATTTCTTGATATCAAAGAATATATAGCCTCAGTGGTGTAAAGTCTACATCAGGTTCTAGAGGCTACAGTACATGAGGCTTTAGAATATTTTTGTTCTAACAACAAACAAACAAACAAACAAATAAACAAACAAACAAACAGGTTTTACTTAGTTTGGTTTAGTGGTTAAGGTACCAAGCTAGAAAGCAAGAGCCCATGAGTTCAAGTCCTGTGTTAGCCATGAAAGCCATCTGGGTGACCTTGGGCCAGTCACTTTCTCTCAGCACACCTCACCTCAAAGGGTTGTTGTTGGTGAACTTTAATGTGAAAGTAACATCAGGTAACAAAATTTGGGAGACATATTTATGGCTTCTTTGTTAAATCATGATGAATGATATGGGATGTGGAAAAAAAAACCCCTTCATGTATTTTACATGGATGCATATTTTTTTCTGCAACCTATAACATATAAGCTCAACAGGATTCCAGATTTTACTTGGGTTTTAGCCTTTTTTTTAATAGCCCCAAATATGCAGTCTACCCTTAGCACAATATCAGCAGCTGTCTGTAGTATAGGACTTCAAATGCTGTGAAATCACCCAAGTAGAGGTTTCATCCTGCTGCCCAAAGGGGGATGATGGACTTCGTCTGTCTAGGGATAGAGTTCAACATTTGAGCTGCATATTTTTATTAAACTTTTTTTGACCAGCTATTTCAAATTTTCCATACTTTTAAGTCTCTCCAATTCAGGGACTGAATATTTAGGTTCTTGTGAAAG